TGTTTGCTGTAAACATTTCAATAAGAGGCGGTTTTTTATCCGACACGGAGAGAAAATATTTTTTACCAAATAATATTTCATAACTTTTTAAAGTGATGGAGTGGAATTGTCTTATTTGCAGAAAGTATATAACTTATATAACTTGATGAGACACCACATATATTTATTACTTTTAAAATAAAACACTAATACGGCATATATAGCTTTAAGGATTTAGATGTATAACAAGGCACTTCCGGTAAAAATGACGGCATCTGCCGATGATTGCTGATGTGAATGGATTATTTGCTGGAAGGAAGGCAAAATCTCTAACAAAGACGTTTATAACCCAAAGTTCAGTCAAATTGTGAACATTATTCAATAGTAAAATTCTAGTCATTTTATCACATTTTTATATCAATTCACTTTCCCCAGATATACATTTAAACAGAGTTTGCCAAATCCATGCTTCTATATTTATGAATTATGGATACTTTTACGTTGATGGGTTTCTTTTTGTAAAACAAATCACATGAGAAATGTGATTTTTTTGTTAATTTTGAGGAAATAGATCTCAATATTGGTCAGATCATGCAAAATATTAATAACAAAGTTTTTCAGCCAGCCCTAACCTCTGAATAGAGGAGATCAGATTGCTTTCCACAAACACATGTTCATAATATTTCTCCCAGCCATCCCTAATCCAAGACAATAAATTCTTCTCATCCAGGAAAAAGTTCAAGAACTGAAAGAAAAAAAAAACAATTTAGAAACCAGAATGAATCTGATGAACTACTACTTTTTTAAAAAGTCTCTAAACAACTTGAATATATTGGAAATGGTAAAAAGTAGAGATATATTCTACGTTAGACATAAAAATTATTTACACAATATCATGTCTAACACTACACATTCTTACTCTGTACATCCTGTTGATATCTTGAGATGACACAAACTTCCTGAAATGAGCCATTCCAAGTTCATCCAATCGAAAAAGGGCAAGATAACACACAACTGAAAGTTAAACAAATCCTGATCACAATATATAGAAATTTCTCCATTCAATACCATAATGATATTTTCCAAAATAAAGTTAATATTTAGCATTTCACCTGAAATGTTTTTCTTACTTGTGAAACTGTCATATTTTTCAATATTTGATTATCAAAATTGGCTGCCAAAAGCCACCTTGTTCTTAAAATGTTTAAAATGAAAAAAGATCAATCTTTGCGAGTTCATTCCTAACAACAAGACAAGTAGTACAACAAAAAAGTTTTAAAATTAATCAAAATTCTAAATCCCCTACCTGTGTATAGATTTTGTTCTGATCGGAGAGTTTTCTTTCCATCCTTGGCATAGAAGCCATCCAACACAACTTGCATTAGGTTGGCATACCTGACACATTCTGAGAAAACTTCCACAATGAAGGTCTGATCACTGTCATCGTAGATCTGAAATAAATGTAGTATAATTAACAAAGATATCTACAGCAAAGACCTGAAACATGCACAATTTATCTAATGTATAGATTCCAACAAAAAGACACTTTCTGGGTCCATGATTGCACCTATGAACAGAATTTTTTCTGTGTTTTTCTGCTTCATACACATGTAGTTCAAGGGGTATGAACACATTAAAAAGAATGCATGTTAAATAATTTTATCATTTTTCCCCAGTCTACTCTGGTCTTATCATCATCGTTCCTTTTGGTTTCTGGTGGAACATAGGGTCTCACTCTGGTCTTATCCAACATGGATATTTTTTAGGTATAATGACATACATGATAAGCACAGGATTTACCTGGTTATTTTCCAGGTATTTGTTGACATGATTTACCTGGTTATTTTTCAGGTATTTGTTGACATGATTTACCTGGTTATTTTTCAGGTATTTGTTGACCTGTTCCTCCACAGACTGCATGTCTCCATTGTATGTGTCCAGTACCTGGATACTGTGGACCAGCAACTGACCATGGCTCAAACTCATCCTGATAATAGCAAAACAAACAATGTTACTAACATTCTAATCACTGACCTGTCATAATACTAACTCAGACAACTAATTAAAATGTGTCAGAATATTAAAGTACTGATCTCATGTAATGGAGAAAATATAAGATTGTCATATCTTTACATAATTTACCAAACATTAAAGGCAGTATCTTGATTAAACAAGAAAAATTATCTTTCTTTGTTTTAATTTCATTACACTGTACTGTGTTCAGATAGTATTTGGTGTAATTAGGATGAATAGCAGGTCCGATATCCCCTTGTTCGACAGCTTCCACAATTCAATTGCTCCAACAATTTCTATTATGTTAATGTTCTTGCATTATGAAGTGCAGTTGCTGCCTTACTGCGATTTAATGTGTAGAAATAACTAGAACAGAAGGTTTGTAATTTATAAGAAATTTTGACATGCCTCTAAATTAAATTCTCAAAACCATTCTCCCATTGACTATCAAGGCAATATCAGTAGTGAATAGCCATTCGTTTTGTTTTTTTTAAGTGACCAGTCAAACAATATTTAATTTTCAACCCTCAGCTGAAAAACGAGGTTTAGTGTGATGATCAACGTAAAAATTAACACCCAATTAACATATCCACTCTGATCCCAGATATTCTCCATTATTCAGATAGTTCTGGTTGAATTTATTACACATGCGATTGATCTATATTAGAAAAATTAACATTTCGAGAGATCAATTAATAAACACACACACATTTTAATGAACTTTAATGGGTAAAGGAACCAGGAATCCGAAAAAAAGATAAAGAACCTCGAAAGATCAGAAGTTTGGGAGATCAAGAAAAAGTTCTTAAGAGACAAAAAAAGTATCAGAGAGACCAGAGTTTGAGTCATCCAAATCACCTGTATCTGTAAATCACATTTCATTGCAGATCTGCTAGATCTATGGTATATATTTAACATTTTTCAACATTCAAAGAATTTTCAATAAATCAGAAAGAACGAAAATTTCAATAATTTTAAACAATTTTATAGAGATACTGTCTTAGTTGTACAAAAAACAAACAAATGTTCCGAGACAATTGACAAAATAGTAGGGTCCATGAATTTGGGGGTGACGTGAAACGTGACTATTAGAAGGCTTTTAACGAGTCGTAGCCTCAGCAACAGTAAAAATTATTGGGTATATAAACTGCTATGTTAAACTAAAAAGATATTTCCTAAATGAATACATTACTTGACGCCAAAATTAATTTTCCTGTATGTTGGTTAGTGTTGCCAATGTCCACAAAGCTTAAAGCGTCGCATTAACCAAGATGAAAACACATAGATTGAAAATCTTGCCGACAGACGTCTGAATTCCGGAATAGTATCGCCTGCATATTCTTTAAATTAAATAAATTACAATAGAATGCCTCAGTCCTGTCACCTTTATTTTTCTAAGAAACATGCAAATAAACAAGGAACCTTCATCGACATACTAGAATCTTCATTTCTGTATTTCTTACATTTGGAGGGGGTGGGATGTAAAGCTCATAAAATTATGATTATGAACACAAGCGAAAAAGTAGCTGGGATATCTGGACGACAGAGAGCAGTTCCACAGTTTGAAAAAAGAAAAAGTGCATATTTATTTTGCACAAAAAGTGCGCTGCTCCTCGATTTTTTTAAACAAAATTAATGTTACAAACCGTATGTTCAGTCTAACATATTCTTTTATGACCTCTGCAACAAAGCGTTTTTGCCACCTAATATGGCAGTATAAATTGGCGAAATTTTGTTCTCTGCCCAGACGTATTATTAACAACGGTCATAGGCGTCGGAACCGGGGGAGAATAGGGGGACTTAGCTTTCCTCCCAACTTTTTGCAGAGATAGATTTAATAAAGGCATTGAAAATTGGGGTTTACCTTTTTTTATTGGTTTAGTCCCCCCTTTCAATTTGCTTCCGACGCCTATGACGGTTATTGGAAAAGTTTTATGTGGAAGCAGTAAAAGAGTATGCTAAAAATACATTGATAGTAATAATTTTAGATTACAGCATACATGGTGGGAAAAAAGTCGAGAATCACTTTTTGCGGCGCACTAAATGTACACATATTTTCAATGGTGGCACTGTAGTAGCTCTCTGGTAGTCCATCCTAATTTTTTTATACCATTGATCGAACTACAGTAGTGTAACAGTATCACTACACCTATCCATAAACGTCGGAAGGGGGGGGGGGCTAGGTTGGGCTTAGCCCCCCCCCCCCACTTTTTTTTTCAAAAGATAGACTTCTGTGTATAGGTTTAGCCCCCCCCCCCCCCACTTTCCACAGATACGTTGCAGTAAAGGTTTAAAATTGGTAAAGTGGTGCTGTTTTGAACAAAAAATGGTACTGAAGTTCGAACCTACCTATAAACACCCCCCCCCCCCCGTACGAAATAGGATTTTCGCGTTTGGATAATGTCAATGGACATTTTCTTTTTTTATTTGCTTGACAAGTCAGGGTTTATTTTGGAGGTCTAAAAAAGAATTTCTTACACTCAGTTCCCCTCCCCTCCCCCCCCCCCCATTTTTAATTTGCTTCCGACGCCAATGCTATCGATTTCTTTGTTGATGTTTTCTGTGGGGTTATAGTCCCAGGAAGAATATTGGGGGACGGCCGGGTAAATTCACTTTGAAAATTTTAGAAATAATATCGGGGGTGAGATTGGGGGGGGGGGGGGTAAGGGTGTGTCTGTTCCCACTTCTTTTTCCCCAAACATAACATTTTACAATTATAAAAAATATTCAGGCAAGGTAAACGATTCTACAGCTTAAAAGATGTGGTACCTATTCGTTATTTTAAGAAATAAAGTACATAATTTTTTTTAACGATTTACTGTGACCCCTTAATTAAGCTGTTAACTGTATATATTTACAGATCATGATTTTATAAAATAATTTTATCTGCAGCTTAGTCTAGATATCCAAATATTTTCATTAATATTTAGCCTATAGTAGATCTTAGTAATTGCAAGACAAAAACGGAAAAATAATCTTCCCGAAAATTCTAATTTGCATACAATATTAAAAGTGGGTCAATATCAAGGGGCGCTACTCATAGAAATCATTATTTCATTGCAAGATGGAGGTAGGATATGTGGGGAAGCGTACTGATTTACATTTTCAGTGAATTAATAATTGTGCTGCATTTGTGATAACTGCTTTTTCAACAGCATTTATGTGTTTTGAGTGTGTGCTATTAAAAATTGTGTTGGTTTTTTATGCTGTTGTGTTTTGGAATGTGCAGTTTGGAAAATTTTCAAATTTCTGTTTTGTTTTGTTTTTGCAGCACCGGGAAATATCCGCCCCAAGAGCGGGGAAGTATAACGTTTATATTGAGGTAAGATTATTCAAATTATATTGGGGAAGGAGGAAAAAGAAGCTTTTATTGAAATGGTTTTTAAAAATTGTTGCACATTCATTTTCCAATCTAAGAAGTGCATCTTCTGCTAAAAATCTCGTGTAGGCCTATTTGTATCAATTGCTTTTTTTTTTATCGTGAATATTTGGCACAAAAAATGGCATTCTGCTCATCAATTCCGTGCTTGAATTGCAAAACATATTGACTTTGGGCTACACTGACGCCTTTCAGTTCACACAAGGTCATCAAGCAGACGCGCGTTACGCTTGAGAACACGTTGTAAAAGTCGTCGTAGCGAAAATTTACACAAAGCCATCTCGGTACTAGTCAATGGCTATTTATGGACGGAAAAGAGTAGATACTTATTGATAAAATTTGATAAGTGACCTGGATGACGATGAAGTAAACAAGAGCATGTTACCAGTCCACGTGGTTTTGTTTTTGTCAGGGTGACATAAATATTTACTGGCGTGTGTCATCCACCTGTGTTCTATGACACTTTGACCTTGTTTTTCTTACCAAAAATGTTCTTGACTCGGATATGATCTTGTCAACATTCCATCATTTTTTTTAATGATCCAAACAATAATAATAAATCTGGTTTAAATAAAATAAGATTTTTTATTTATTTTGTATTTGTAGATGTAAATAAATTTTACTGGAAAAAAATACATGTATATTATTATTTTTAGGGAGACTTGAAACACAAGCATTTTATAATCCTCACAGTTCATGATTTAGGATGCAATCGTAAGTATTTTAATCTGTGCAAGAATAAATGTGCTTCACTTTTCTGTGTACACCTCCAACACAAGCTCTGTTTTAGTTACAAATTGTCAATAATCCAAGATGCAAAGCACTATATTTACAAATATTTACCTCTGTTAGAGTGATAGAGAATCTGTATGGTCTTATTTTTGCTGTAAAATATGAAAAATGTTCTTCACAGCAAAATCTTGATTTGGCTTCTGTCCAAGCAGCAAAACAGCAACAAGTGCTAACAGGGTTGGAAACAGATGTCCCAATGAAAAAAATATTTATAGTCAAAACAGCAGAAAATGTTACACAAAAAAATGATTGTTTTGCACACAGATCTGCATATGCCTTAAAATGTTTTATGGCTTACTCACTTGCGAAATGTATCCCATAAATCTACAAGAACGAGAAGAGAGAGAAGTAGGAAATTAGAATGGCAGATGTATTGAACTGTCTCTTAGTAAAGTTATGAAGAAGAATGCAAAAGAATACAAAGAAAAATAGAAAGCACATGATAAGGTTTGGTGTTTGAATTGCACTTTTATTACTTTTCCCAAATGACAAAAATAGATACAGCTCTGAAGACAGTAAGCCATAATGACAGTGTGGTGTTATTTTTATTAGCTATTTTTATCTTGTTTATCTGTCTCGGTGATGTAGTTCACCTACTTTACAACTGTATTTACCTAAGGGTGTAGCAGATAATTTTGACTTGATTTGTGTTGGAGAGAGAGAGAGAGAGAGAGAATGAAAAAGAGAGAGAGAGATTTTAAATTGGCATGTATTAGCATTACACAGAGTCAAACGGAAAAAAAACTCTCACTATTTTCAATAAAATACCTTGCAGCCAGTGGAAAAACAATGGAAATCATTCAGTAGTAATTATATTCTAATAAATATACAGTATTTTTACTACTTGGATTTCAAACCTGAGGTCATGCAAATTGGTGTACTTTAAAGTCAATTGTCTACTAAATTCGCTCAAAGCTTGTATACAATTTAATACATGCAGGACACGATTGGAAAAGGAAAACAAAGATTAAAAAATTTTTTTACCATCCCTTTCCTCTTTCCAACTGCATGGGGTTCCCTAAGATGTCATTTAGCTATTATTGGATTGGGCCTCACTGCATATGCATAAAGCCACCATAAGTGTTCAAATAGAAGAGATAGGATGTTTTAATAGCAAATGTCAAAAGAAAATGAAGACTGAATTTATAGTTGGCGCTTTTTCTTGTTCTAGATAGCCTTGAAATCTTGAAATGTAAATTTTACCATATTTTAGTGGCCGACATCAAGTACACTGACGTATCTGACTGGACATCAAGTTATTATGATCCAACTAAAACACTATACATGTATTCATAAATGAAAGAGGTTAATTTACTATTCAAAACCTTTTATTGCAGTGTGATTCCTCTTGTTATTTTATTGGCTGCAGGGTGTTTTTTGAGAGCAATCCTATGTAAATTTGGGCTGATAATTTCATGTTTGGTTTCCTCTAAATTTGTTGACTAATATGTAAAATCAGACATAGTTTGTTAGCGGCCCTTTCTATGAAGACCTTCAGTTAGCTGTGGAGTATTAGCATTATATACTGGTGTCTTTCTAATTATGCGGGAATACTGGAAATTAGGGAGTCAGTCACCCCCTCTGCTTCAAAAACAAAAGGTCAACACTGGTTTAGCAAAATATTTTAAACAGTATGTGGCCTATCATTCTATGTCAGGAAAGGATCTAGATGTACCGTATAAGTATAATTTTTATCGAGGATTTAATTGTGGCATTATTAGCAAGGGTGCTGAGATTGCTAAAATATCATATCGCTAAAAATTAATTGCATTTTATTTGTCATAGCTTCTTTAGTGAACATTTCAAAATCACTAAAATTGCATCTCACTAAAATAAACACCAATTTTTAAGGACAAATTGTTAAAATTTCCACTTACATGGTATGTTGAAAAAATCTTTGCATTTATATACTACAGTATTGAGTTCTTCTAGAAATTTTTAGTGAGTTTTCTGAATGGCAAAAATACAGTGGAGATGGGTATTGATTCTCTACCATATATAGTACCAAGCCTTTTTTTACCATATACATATAATATACATGGCGAATAAAAAAGTTATTCAAAAGAAAATATTTACATTTGCTGTGTTTTTCTACTAAGCCAACAGTGAAATTGATTTGAATACCATTTTCGTGTATACTCAAACGTCGAAATACACACGAAGAAACGTTCGTTAACGTGACCTCACAATAAGGCTACAGCGACGTTAGTAAAAGTATAACGATATAGGGCAGTGAGAAATTCAAATATTGAATAAATTTTTTGGTGCTTCCAAATGTAAAATGTAAATATAAGGAATGTTTTGAAGTTTAGTGTGAATTATTGGTGTGTGAATCACACAGACTTGCATGTAGGTTAGTGCTCTTCATGAAATATCCCTACGTGACAAGTCTGTGTGATTCACACACCAGTAACTCACACAAAACTTAAAAACATTCCTGAATTATACACTGTATCCCAATCCTGTAAAAGGTTTAGAGTATTTAAATCTGAATCCAATAGCTCTCAGAACGTTGTCCTCCCCCCTTCCAGAATTCCCAGTGAGCCGTTACTCTGGACCTAACACAATACCCAAGAAGACACGTCATAGTTGGCAGATTAATATGAACAGATTACTGTCATGTTGCATATTCAATGTGAACTTGACAGTAATAAAATAACAAATACCTTATTAACTCCATTGTTGTTGTATTCCAGATTCAATGTGGACATCCTTCCTGAACCATCCGTCCATGGCGGAGATCAACAAAAGGGCAGCTTATATCCATGTCGACATTCCAGGACAGGAGGATAATGCCCCTGATCTCCCCCCAGAGTAAGTATATTGTATGAACATTAAATTAAAGCCTCCAATATCCCTCCAGAGTAAGTATATTGTAGGATCTCCCTCCAAAGTATGTAAATTATAGGAAGATAATGCCCCCAATCTCCCTCCAGAGTAAGTATTTAAAGCCTCCAATCTCCCTCCAGAGTAAGTATATTGTAGGATCTCCCTCCAAAGTATGTATATTACAGGAAGATAATGCCCCCGATCTCCCTCCAGAGTTTGTATATTGTAGGAAGATAATGCTCCAGTCTCCCTTTGGAGATTGTATATTGTAGGAAGATAATGCCCAATCTCCCTTTGGAGATTGTATATTGTAGGAAGATAATGCCCAATCTCCCTTTGGAGATTGTATATTGTAGGAAGATAATGCCCAATCTCCCTTTGGAGATTGTATATTGTAGGAAGATAATGTCCAATCTTCCTTCAGAGTTTGTATATTATAGTAAGATAATGCCCTATCTTCCTTCAGAGTTTTTGTATTGTAGGAAGATAATGCCCTATCTTCCTTCAGAGTTTGTTTATTGTAGGAAGATAATGCCCTATCTCCCTCCAGAGTTTGTGTATTGTAGGAAGATAATGCCCCTGATCTCCCTCCAGGGTTTGTTAATTGTAGGAAATAAGATATCCTTATTATACCTTGAGTATGTACATTGTAGGAACATCCAGAGTAGGTACATTGTAGGAAGATAATTCAGCTGTTCTCCCTCCAGAGTATGTAAATAGTAGAAAGATAATGCCCCAAACTCCCCCAAGAGTATATATATTGTAGGAAGATGTTGCTCCCATATCTCTCCAGAGTATGTTAATTTGTACATGCAGTAAGATAATGGCCCTGATCTTGCTTCATAGTAATCATGTATATTTTAATCTTAAAAATCTTAAAAGTACAAGTTTATTTGTTCAGTGATGGATCAAGGAATTATGTTTTATTTAGACTTTCTTGATGTGTGGGAAAATGGATAGGTGTGGTTATTTTTGTCACTAATGTAGTAATAAAGTAATGTCAGATTACATACAAATGTTATATGTTGAATTGTCATTTAAGGAAGTACAATACTACTACCAGTAACCAGGAATGTGCTAAAAAGTGTTTTCATGGTTATCTTTAATAATTATGTATCAGGACAAGACTATGTTCTTGTAGATAGTCCACAAATACTACTGTACCGTTAAACATGTTTAATTTACTGTAGATAAATGGAGGTCTTATGTTGCAGTAAATGTTAACATTTTGTGCCTTCCACGGGCAGTTGGTACATGCCAGTACAACATGTACAAGTAAAGAATTCTAGAAGGGACATACACAAAGAGTCCATTTTACACCTAGTAAACATACTAGTTTATGATCTGTCCCCCAAAATCACTGCTATGATACTGGTGCCTGATACAAATTTGTTTGAAAACATTGTTTACATTCATACTAAACTTACAAAAATAAGGATTTGTCAGTTCTGCCAAAATGTTGAAAGTCATTGTAGAGCCAGGATCTTTGACGAAAACTTGAGATGATGCATGTATAATTTTCAGTAACTTGTCAAAATGATTGTGTGTGTGTGTATGGGGGGGGGGGGGTTGATGGGTGGTAGTAGAAATTGATTGTAGTAGATTGACAACTAAGAATGAACGCTTGATGAAGATGGCAAGAAGAAAATTGGGATTATAGGGGCAATAAAATAATAGTGCAGAAACTGGGAAATAAAAATAGATAGTCCTTTCTATTAGGATGCCATGTTTCTTACAATATCATTGGATAGCTAAAGGAACTAAATGAATTCGAGGAAAAGTTAATGTAACACAATTAGCAACACACCTGTTAACTGGTTAAACATGCTCCTATCTTGAAAATATTTACTAAAATTGAAAATTAGTGAAATACAGTACTGTTCAGCAGAATGTAGCAATAATTAATAGATTATGAATATCATTTTTTGCACTTAAGATTAAAGTAAAAGAGATTGAGATCATAGATGCATCTCCTAAGTGATTAAACTGGATGTGGTGCAAGAAAATCCCTGGTCCTGAACTGTAAATGATTCATTGAGATGTTAATTAGATGGTGTTTTTATCATCAGTGTCAACATCTCCACATACCTCCTCTGTCTCGTGAGTTACCTGTGTCAGGGGCCCTTACCTGAGGCTGGTATTAACGGTACAGTCAACAAACTAGTGTTAGTCAGGAAATACGGCCATACACTGGTGTTAGTAAGCCATTCATCACATCATTCTGTTATCAATGATGGTAAAATAAAAACAAGGATCAGAGGATGCAAGCAATGCAGGGAACAGATTTCTTCCTTGCTTTGCCAAAAAAATTAAAGCCATCAAAAACATGTATAGTCATGCCTTTCCTTGTCAAGATTAAATAAAGTGTTCTAGGTCATTAATATCAAAATCTTTAGCCTTGCATAACAAGCACATGCTTTTATTAAAGATCTATCACAATCTGTTGAATTCCAAATAAAAGATATCAAGGTGTTAATTTTGATAAAGTCTGTATCTTTATTAGAGGCAGCCCAGCTACCTCTATAGATACTGAAGGTAGTACATATAGCATATGTGAACAGCTACCTCTATAAATATATAGCCTACATTTCTGTACGTAGAAATACTAGATACATGTAGCAATATGTGACCACGGTGAGGACCAAATTACATCAGGTCTGAGGCAGATTATCTATTCATCCTCAGTATCATTATTACATGATACATCATTCATTATTGATTCGGAAAATTATACCAAATACTTTTTTACATCATGTTTATCAATTCAACCATCATTAATCTGGGGAGTCGGATATTCTCTCATCCAATATTTCCTGGTGGGCAAACAATATCATTTGTGATTGTCTTTATCTTCTGTAGAAAAATGGACAATCAATTGTAAAATGAATTTGTTTCCCATACATCCAAAACAGAGCCCCTGTCTAATTTAAAAAGTTTTACAAAATAATGCATCGTGCATTTAGTTTGACCTTGAAGGCCAGGTGTTACTGTTGGTTTTGAGTTCACCAAAAGCCAAGCATTTCTTTCTTCTTTTTAAAAGTCTGTAGAAAGAAATTGATTTTTTTTTTACACATTAGATTACTTGCATGGTGCCATTTGTTGAAATGCTCTCCGCTGGTCTCTTCTATTGATAGCTTTGATATTGTGATCGGAGGATTAGGGTAGACAACAGAAAAATAATCTGCTCTGTGGACACGGGAATCGTTACATGTGTTTCCTTTTTTTTGAAGGGTTGGGGGGGGGGGGGGGGGGGGGGGGGTCTGAGCACATTGCATTAGTGAATGCAGAATTTCAGTGAATTGTTCTGTAGACATAATAAAAAGTACAAAGTCATGATCTAAAAATTGTTTTTTCCTCTCATTAGAAATAATTAAGGGCCTTGTATTCTGATTTGTACAAAATAACAATATAATTAGATAATCCGATGACGGCTTTGAAACTCCATGTTGCTATGTTATAAGGCACTGTCTGATTTGTCTTCTTTTTTTGACAATAGGCATCCTCCCAAACGAGTTTCAGGGATCTCACTTTGGTAATACTCACAAGTGAGGGGAATATTGTCAGTATGCTTGTCCTAATCTATATTGTCACTCCAGGGGTGGATCCCAATGTTTAGGGCATGTTCTTATGTAGTCCCCCTTAATCAATCAAGACTGTTCAAGTTACAGAGAAAGTTACCTTTAAATTAGGTGTCATTTTTCATGATCTGAAATTAGTTTTTGTTCAATCAGCTGTTTGTGATGTCACTACAGGTAACTCATCCTCTTACATAAGATTAATCTAGACATCCACCCCTGACTGTTGTTATGATTGTTGCATCTGATGAGAGCATCTTGGGACTTAGTTACAGAAAAATTTATATCTGTATCTTTATATCTAGTGTTAATGTCATATTTACTACCCTTCTAATGTTGTTAATTTGTATGTCCTGATGAATTGTCATTCATGTATTGTGTATTCATGTTGTCTGAAGTTATGTGGAATTTCTATGTATCTCAATTTCACGCATAAACATCACTTGTTCCATCAGCATCTTCTTCTTTTATAGTCAAGATTGTCCATCATGAATTATCATCATTTAAAACTTTATATTCATTATCTACTTGTCATAATACTAAGAGTATAATTGATGCAGACTGGAGGCAACTTGGATACAAGCTTCCTAAATCAGGTTTTTTCTATTAAGGAGTCTCTTGAATGTAAAACTAGAGTAGACAGTATTATTCTACAGAAAACTATGCCAGGACTATGCTGGCAAGGAAAACTCCTTTGTCTATGTTATAGGCATGTTGCCATAGTGACACATTTAACATAAGGAATTAATATTGTTTGTTCATTTTGTAGCCTTGTCTGTTCATTTGACCTTATGTCTCTGCTTATCAAACTCCGTATTTCTGTGTATTTCTGTCAGTATATCTATATTTCTGTGTATTTCTGTCACTGAATGTATTGGACTTCTGTATAGATGTTGTCCTGTCAGTCTGCATGATTGATCTCTCTATGAATATAAGAAACAAACTGTGTCTGTAGTGGCCTGAAATAGTCCTCCTGGACCTGAGAACTAAGAAAAAGGGGCCACTACAAGGCAAAGCATCCCCTCGCAGCATAGCTATAAATCAAGACAGAATTTGACAACGATCAAAATGCAAATTACATCACTTCTGTTTATCACAGAATTAACTCACCCACAAACACACACACATGATTGCATTACTATATCCCCTCCAACTCTTGCGAGGGGATAAAAAAATCATGTATGTGGCAAAATGTCAACCCAAGACACCCAAATGGGGATTTTGAAGGAAGTTTTGTGTCTCACTGAAAGGGAAAAAAAAACTCAAAGTAATGATTTAAAACATAATGAGTGTTATGTTGCTAAATATTGTATATGCATCGTAGCTTATCATGCGTACAGGAGAATATTGATATTTAATTTGCACATTATATAAACTGAAAGCTGAGAGTTAGAACATCTTAAAACACACACAAGCTAATATACATAACTTATGAAGCCAAATATTTGCCCTATCTGACCCTGCAGTCCTGCTTTGAAGCAGGAAAGGTATTGCCATTCAGACTTTTAGGTAATTGGAACAACAGCTACACATTCTTGTAGATTTCCACACTACAGCTTCAAAAGTACAGCTTTTATTTCCAGGAGTATAAATAAGAGAATCTGTAATTCAACTGTCAACAGTGAAACTCTAATGAGATTCTATTCTTGCTATGTCCTCAGGGAAATTTATTCAGAAGCTTCAAAAGTCATACCTAGACAGAATTTTTATCAGAATTTCTCATTTAGTGTAGGCAACTTGTCATATTCATATTAATGTAAACTTTATGATGAAGTACCTGATATTGGTTTAAAAACCAAAGTAGGCATAATAGAAGCAAATTATGTTTTTCTGTTCATTTAATTAAATAATTTTTGTTGTATTTGTTTGAAGTCTACAATGTCTGATTACTACGGATATTACAATGCACACATTTCACAGGCCTTAGACATTTGTTGTCAGACCAAAGAAAAAGCCAGAACTTGTTTTTATAGATCAAGAATATCAGGGCAAGACTTCTCAAGGCCTTTTATTGAATGTTGAATTTCAAAAATTGATCTGTGAAAGGAAACACCTGAAATCTTAAATAATGAGCATTGATTGTATAGAAGAAATTTTATTTTATAGAAAATCCATTGTTACTTCAAAGATAAGCATTCTCCATAGAGTTCAGTTTCTTTTTTGTTCATGCCTTATGAAGAAAAAAATCATTTTGTGTGCATGTGTATTCGGGTGAATATTAATTGTATAATGTCCATTGAAATGAATAATGTAGAACATGTAGTTTTTTCCCTACTGTTTGATGAAATATCTGTAGTGAAATGTTTGAAAATTTGAATTCCATGAATTGAACACAGCATGAAAGTAACATTGAAGAACAATGTGTCCAGTAAAAATCCGTAATCCTGAAACAATTTCAGTAATAATGAATTATTTCCAGAGCCGATGAATTTCAGTTCAATATGCTTATAGCTGTCTGAGATGGACAATTTTGCTTTGTTATAAATTGTTATGTCCTTCAGGTAGTAATGAATTTGAGTATTCCTTTATTAAGATGTTTTATAAGGACCTTGCATTAAGAAGCAGGTGCCTAGGTAGTAGTCACAGTGTTCACTTGTCTGATTGTCTGTCTGTGACTCTGTCCATCAACACCTACTGGTATGTGATTTAATAACACAAGTCCCTTTCAATCCATAGACTTTATAATAAATAGCCTTGAGTCAGAGGATGGGTATGGGTAGACACCATCAGTTTCTTGTGTTTAGTTGAACATAGAATAAATCAAGGTTAAATCCTGAGCTTTTGGCTTGATTTTTTTCAAGACCTTTATTTCTAAAACTCTGCATCATATTCAAAAGTTCTTACAATAAATTCTGATTCTGATTTCAAAGTAATATTGGTTCCACTGATTTTCATAGTGATCTTCCCTTCATTTTCATTCAGTGCTGTTAAAACCAGTTTGTATCTAGCTCTCGTTACACCCTGCAATTATAACTCTCCTTGAGTTTTGTAATTACGGTAACTCTGATTGACAGTGATTGTCTCCCTTTGTAATTTTTTTCCTGAGATTAACTCCCCTTGACATTTTTATTTCAGCTATAACTTCCCCAGTATGCAGAGTCTTGGAGAAGATCTTATCTGTATTCTGGACCAACTGGAGTACGTATGCACCTATAATCCTAAAAAAAAGATATATTATTGTAAATTTAAATTAGCAAACTTGAAATATTCAGATTATAGATGTATTTTATTCCTTTATTGAAACAAATTTATTTTATCATCTGAAGATACACTGTACTTGTGTATGGTGTATTGTATATAATGTTGATCTTTGGTTGTGTATTTTGTAAGTCTGTGAATCTTTGATCTATTACAGCATTAAGCAGGTGGTGGGAATTGGAGAGGGAGCAGGGGCCAACATCCTCGCCAGGTTTGCTGTACGTCTATTTTATGTTCCGTTATTTGTATTTATATAATCGGAAACCTAATATTTCCCCCAGTAACTAATTTGTCTGCATGTAATTGAAAAGCAATAAAAATGTCGTAACTGTAAGTACAAAAGAGAGAAGCCTCAAAATATTGCAATAACTTCACAACAGCAATGTCACACAATCAATACTGGAACATTAACATTTGATGGCAGATGACAAGCAGCAGTGTGAAATTATTGATAGTGAAAATGTCAGTGTCTGAGACACTGACTTCAGAATTTGTATCCATTTGATAGAGGTTGACACCTCTTGGTGTAAAATTAACTTACAGGGCATCCGGCAGTTAGCAGTATAGGATTTCCCACCAGCCCATTAACTCGTTCTGTATTGCATATCAGTGGGGCTGACATTTCAAACAAGTTGTATAAGTATGTAACTAGTATATAACTCAATCCAGATTAACATTTCTTAACTCCTCTTCAATGCAGATAAACAAAGCTAAACTCCTAGCGCCTCAATCCAGACAAACAAAGCTCAACTCCTAGCTCCTCAATCCAGATAAACAAAGCTAAACTCCTAGCTCCTCAATCCAGACAAACAAAGCTAAACTCCTAGCTGCTCAATTCAGATATACATTTCTGAACTCCTCTTTAATCCAGATAAACAAAGCTAAACTCCTAGCTCCTCTATCCAGATAAACAAGGCTAAAATCCTAGGTCCTCGATCTAGATAAACAAAGCTTAACTCCTAGCTCCTAAATCCAGATAAACAAAGCTAAACTACCAGCTCCTCAATCCAGATAAACAAAGCTAAACTCCTAGCTCCTCTATCCATATAAACAAAGCTAAACTCCTAGCTCTTCAATCCAGACAAACAAAGCTTAACTCCTAGCTCCTCAATCTAGATAAACAAAGCTAAACTCTTAGCTCCTCAATCCAGATGAGCAAAGCTAAATGCCTAGCTCCTCAACCCAGACAAACAAAGCTAAACTCCTAGCTCCTCAATCTAGATAAACAAAGCTAAACTCTTAGCTCCTCAATCCAGATAAACAAAGCTAAACTCCTAGCTCCTCAATCCAGACAAACAAAGCTAAATGCCTAGCTCCCCAATCCAGACAAACAAAGCTTAACTCCTAGCTCCTCTATCCAGATAAACAAAGCTAAACTCCTTTTCAATCCATATAAACAAAGGTAATTGCCTAGCTCCTCAATCCAAATAAACAAAGCTCCTAGCTCTTCAATCCAGATAAACAAAACGCCTACCTCCTCAATCCAGATAAAGCTAAATGTTCCTTAAGCTAGATAATTGAGCTAAACTGCCTTCCAATTATGCCCTGCTGTGACTTTTATTGAAAAGCACTATTTCATACTTGTCAAGGACTAAGGAATATAAATAAATAATTGAAATAATTTGTACTATGTTAACATCGACATTGGTACATCTTTGCTCAATATGGTCATGTGGTTAACATAAAACTTGATGAGGTGACCTAAGTTAAGAGACATAGTGCCACACCATCCACTGTTGCAGCCTCTATAACAGATCATGATTTATATATTAGTAATAATCTCTGGATAATATCTCTGCTAAGAGACGCCCATTAGCAGTGATTATATCAGGGCTGCGGAAACTTAATTCCAGCTCTTTCCTCATTGATTTTTCCTACATTTCAGTGGTAATTAATTAACAGTGATATTAAGTATTGGGTTGTGATTGTGAGAGAGGCCATTAAAATAATTAAATAAGAACAATGTCTCCTAGTTACACTGGCTCTAAATGACATGTAAAGATAATATGTCCTAGGATGTGACTATTGGAGCATGTGCGTTTAACATTAGTTCACAATTGAAACTTTGAATCCCCTCTCCAAACTTTAAACCACACGAGACAGTATAGAATGATGTCACATAACGTTGTATGTAAGTTGCATTCCCATGAGGAATTCAGTCTTTGTTTGATTTTGTAAGTGTACAAGGTGATCAGTCAGACAGATACAGAAGTTGCTAGTAGGCTGATGTAATAAGTCCTATTGTTGTTGTAGATGGCCCAGCCTGCTCGCGTGTTAGGAGTTGTCCTGATCCACTGCACCGGAACAACCGCAGGAATCATGGAGGGGCTGAAGGACAAGGTCAGACAACAGACAAACACACAGACAAAACAAAACACAAGACAAAAAACAAAACAAAAACAGAGCAGTATAGGAGAAAAAAGGAAAATATTAGTTACAATGGCTGTCTAAATAACAATACATGTATCAACACAGAGAAAAAAACAAAACAGTTCATTAGAAAAAATCAAATTATCATTTACTGTAAAATCACATATTTTTGTGGGATCAAATTTTCGTGGTTGGAGGAAAAAACTCTTGGTTCGTGGGGATTTGAATTCATAGATGGAGAACTATTGAGTAGTTATGTATATAGCATTATACATTTCTTGGTGGACGTGAATTTGTTGGTCTTTTCATACCTCGAAAACAACAAATATTAAACTCCATGAAAATTTGTGATTTCACAGTAGTTATAATATCTCTAAAAATAACAGACCAACACACAGACAAAACAAGTAACAGCACAGTGTAGGAGAAAAAAAGCAAAATATCATTAGTTACAAATTCTCTCTAAATAACAGATCAACATACAGACAAAACAGATGCGTCGGTATAATTGTGGGAAAGGATAACTATAATTAAGAATGATTTTATTAATTGACAGCTGATTGGTTGGAAGTTGGAACATTTAGGAATGAATCCCACAGCTGAGGCCTACTTAATGATGCACAGATTTGGTTCGGTATGTAAAACTAGCGTATCTGATATTTATACATTTGTCTCGTGGATAAAAATCTCAATAGTAGTATATAATTCACATCTGTTGTACTGTGCGCTTAATAGTTCCACCAGTCTAGTTTTTGTTTGGATAATTTATACTGTATTGAGTCTGCCATTGATATGCGTATTTATTTCAGCCAGAGATCAAGATCCCATAGTAGCTTTGTAGACAGGTGTGGTATAAGTCACTTTGTGTCCGAGATTTGGGCCACGGCAATTCTATATAACCCCAATCAACTCTAACAATATGTGTCAAGATTCTATCCCCCATATATCTCTCCTAATTCTCTAGAATGCACTCTACAAACTACCGTATTCAAATAATATGCACCTAAAACTTGCATTTGAAATGTAATTTCTGTTTTTAAAAAAAAAAGTATTTTTAAGCAGAATAAGGATACACATAAATGAATTGTAGTTCAATATAACAATTTCTTAACACAATCTTATGATGTACTAAAACTATTACCAGTATAATATTTTTTCTTTATTTTTGTGAGTTTGATGGTACGACTCTCCACATCATTTTTGATGTACTGAGCAGAACGATCACAATCAGGAAATGGCCCATTACGCCATCGTTATCAGACTAATATAATGGTACTCAAGATACCCACTCAGGCATTCGGCATAATCTACAAAAATTGTCACCTACTTTTGCAGTGAACCTTAATTTGCATGGCAAACATTTATATCACGTCTGTATAAGATATGTAATAGCGTTCTAAGATCTTGTGCTAATTCTTCTATTTATAGAATATTGCATGCAATGTGCTCCAATGAAATCTTGTTGCTCGTTGCCATGCTAATAAGTTTCTCTTCTGTTCTTTATCTTATTGGTTTGCAAATGTTCAGGTTCATGTTGAGTTAAACTAGCACTCGATGAATCCATTCTTCAGCAGTAATGAGTAGTTCTGAGGAATTATCTATCATTATTATAATATTAATGATAAAATAAAAAAAAAGATATTTTATCTGAAATTAATGTATTGGATTTGAGAAAAAGAGTATAACTTGTTTGTAGTGCAGAAAGATGTCATATCTTTCAAAGCCTCTTAAAATGACTAAGAGAAATTTTGGGCTTCAGAAAATATTTTCCTTATAAATACAGTGTATTTGAATGCTCTGTCAAATACAGTCCCCTGTACAGGCTGTATTAGATTAAGAATTAATGAGTTGTAAGTTACAGTTCCAAGTCTTGAAGAAAATGAATATTAAAGTTTCATAGATCTTCTTTGTACTCAGGAAAAAAAGAGTCTTGGCTTGGAAGAAATTTTTGGAGGGTTTTGAAGTAAAAACAATGCGGAATTTACATAATAAATAAGTAAGAAAAATGTGAAAAAGGAAATGTCAGATTGTGTAGGTATAATGAAAGATAAATCAATAAGAGCAATTCTGTAATGGTCTGTAGGAACTGTATCGGTGTGAGGCATCCACAGGATTCTATGATTCTCTGTTTTGATGTTTTTATTGAGAATAGTTTTTATATAAATCAGTCATTACAAGAAATGTAGGTTGCCTTTTGTAGGTTGCCTTTTCTCTTGTTGACCATCTAGAAGCATAAGAATAATTCACCAGCAGTATAACCAACAATCTGGAATCTATGCACCTTTAAACCTATATATTTCAAGATTTTATCTAACAACACACCTTTGTTTTAGGGGATTGAAGTAGAAAAAGATTTTTAAAAAAAGTCTTGAAAACAGACAATTATTCTGATAATACAGTAAGATATAGATGAAGCCATATTTAACTCTTTGACTGCTACCTTAAAACAAGTAAAATAATGGATCAAGAGAAAACATTTTAAGTCATTATCTTATTTGGGAAGGGGGGAATCCCATAGTTTATGTATATCAGTAAGGGAAGGAATCCCCACCCCCCTTTTTTTGATGAGTATTTATTTATAAAGATATATATCTTTAAATTGAATCTATGATTTAAATACTTATAAATCATAAGTTTTTAGTTTTTCAAAAGAGTGTTTTGTAGAAATTGATAACTGGATCTTTATATAACTTTTCAATCAGAGAAATAATTTGATCCTCCTCAGAATCTCTTACTAACAAGCACCTGTGTGTGTCGGTATTTATCTCCCCTGTATCTTATCTCAGTCTCTACCTTCTATAGTCATTGACAGACTGATGTTAAACTTTCAAAATAAAAAATTAGTAATAATGTTCAGCTTCCAAAGTAATGATTCTCACAATAGGATCAGTAAGTGCTGGAGACCAATATTGCTATGTAATAATGCACAGATTCCGTCATTGCTAAAGACAACCTTTGCTATGTAATAATATGGATCTTTTCTTTTTTTGGCATTGCAGGCTATGGTGAGTCAATAACAGCTTGAAGTTTTGAATTACTATTTTCATTTTATTGAAAACTTTGGTTTTCATCACAGATTTATTCACTAAGATTATGTAACTTTCTTTTTATCATTCAGCTTTCACTAACATCTGAATTACATGCATACAAATTCACCTGAAGGTCTCGATGCTTTAATTACATCAGTGCATTGAATACCCCAGAGCATTTTCATTATATTTATATTCTAGACACATAATGAATTAAGTTCATCATTCCCCTAATGTGTTAGAAATTTAGATTAGATTCACCTATCTCTACAGAAAATTGATGTGTTGAATTAAATTAAATCCCTGTTTGAAATTTCACATTCTGTTTTACTTTACAATTTGCATGAATTTAGTGATAGTTAAATGTTTTCACTATATATTGGTTGACTTTGATTTTATGGAGGAAAAAAATGTTCTAACTATTTTAATTACATTAGAAACTAATATTTAAGGAACAGAAATGAAATAAATATGATTTTTTATCTGATATATACATGGGAACAGTGTGTTTATATAGGACAGTTTCTTACACGATGCTAAAAACATCTTGTACCTGTGAATATTAATGAGCGTTGCCGTGTTGAAAACTGGTGACAGGTTGTGTTCGCTGGGGCTAGATTTAATTTGACAGTTGTGGTGACATTGAAGTTAAATAGCTTCTTAGAGGAAACCCATATCATGGCTGTACTACTGTGAAATTAAAGAAAACATTCTATAGAAAATTATTTGTGGCCAGGTCAAATAAGAAAAGTGTAAAAATATGCACTTTAGATACTGCCTTTATGTAACATGCATAAATAGCTTAGTTTATATTAATCTATGAATATATTTAGTTTCCATAATCACTAATTATTATATGATGCAGTATATCACATATTTATTTTACAAACTCCATATTTAGTAAAAAAGTAAAATTTGCTTGAAGAGATTTGGGGTCACTTTGTCAAAATATTATCAGTATTATCAATTATTGTGTGATGCAATAGCATACACAACTTATGGAAGACTAAACATCTATAACATATAGGCAGGAAATGGTTACGGAATATGAACTGCTCTGTTGATTTTGGAATTACGTGCAGACTTCTTATTTAGTTTACAATGAAGATAATGCATGAGGTGGGGTAAAGGTCTTTGATAAGATGGATGACAAACATCTGTTATGTAATCCTTAGACAGAACATTGGCTGATATCTCAACATGATGATGGGAAACTATAATTGGGTATATCATTGATATACATGTAGTCCTCTAGAATGCTTTGCTTGAAGCCATTAAGAAAATGTAACTATACAGTCAAGTATAATCCAGATTGCTGAAAGTAACTGCTTATTACAATCAGTTTTAAATAGATATTCTATATATTATTTTTATAACCTTTATATATATTTTAACCTACAGATGTAGAATTAAAACAAAAACACATCCAATACAAACTAGATGTAACATTCCTGTATGCAATATATGATAGTATTAAAGGTGTAGGTGTGAAAGGGAAGTTACCCCTACAAAATAAGATTTACAGTCTAAGTTCTACCCACTTTATTAGTACATGTATGCAGCAGATTTGTACGATGACAGTATTTGCTGTATGATCTGGTGTCATGACATGGTGACTTACTGTCATATTACCATGACTGTGTTTCCAGGGTCAGACACACTGGTTCACACTTACAGTACATTGACCTTCCCTCAGATAGTATTGATCTGGAGAACTTGGTGAACGTGGGAAATATTCCGGATTATTGGTCTATTGATTGTCCTTCTGAGTGAGCGTGTGTGTGATGTTCATTTCATTGCCGAGCAGAAAATAACTCAAGATACCAAGAGCTTCCACTAATAAGATTGATCAACAGCCCCCCATCTAATGTTCTAACTATTGAACAGTTTGGAGGATTTTTATAATTTTTAACCTTCCATTTTTAGCTCACAAAATGAAGGAGATCTTTAAATGTCTGTACAGACATTGATATGTCTACATTAAAAGATCAAGATCATCATGTAGCTAAAAATACTTGTCTGATGTGGCTTGTTTTGGACAACTAGGGGATCATTCTTCTAGTCTTATTTTGGAAACTATGATCTGTAACTTCCAAATAAGTAATCAGATTAAATTAATGTTTATAGAAAGCCCATACAACCACTCGCATTTAGCATTTACCGGACTGCATGGATATTGTATTTCAGGATGCAGGTATCTGGTTCTGTATGTCTTCAGCCGATTGATTTCAATCCTAGACAAGGTCAAGGTCATTTAACCAAAATCAATGCCCATCTTCAATGAATGATGATACTTCCAAACATGCAGATATGTATTCATGCATTTGATACTGCAATAGTTATTTATCTTGAACAAACCCCTTTTTTAGCTCACCTGAGCAAGTGAGCTTTTCTGATCAAAATTTGTCCGTTGTCTGTCGTCGTGTTGTTATCGTTGTCGTTGTCGAATAAATAAAATTTGTAATGTCTTTTCACATTTTCATCTTTCTCTCAAGAACCACTGGGTTAATATCAACCAAACTTGCTACAAAGTATCCTTGGGTAAAGGGGATTCAAGTTTGATCAAATGAAGGGCCACACCCTTTTTGAAGGGGAAATAATTATGAATTTGAGAAAAATTAATGGCATTTTTAGAAAATCTTCTTCTCAAGAACCGCTGGGCCAGGAAAGATGAAACTTATGTGGAATTATCCTCAGGTAGTGTGGATTCAAGTTTGTTCAAATCATGACCCCCGGGGCAAGGCTAAAGCTGGGGGTGAAAATGGCCAATTTTTGTTTTACATAGGAATATATAGGAAAAATCTTTAAAAATCTTCTTCTCCAGAACCACTGGGCCAGGAAAGATGAAACTCATGTGGAATCATCCTTAGGTAGAGCAGATCTAAGTTTGTTCAAATCATGACCCCCGGGGCTAGGGTGGGGCCAAAATGGCCGACCCAAGTTTTACATAGGAATATATAGGAAAAATCTTTAAAAATCTTCTTCTTTCCAGAACCACGGGGCCAGGAATGAGATGAAACTCATGTGGAATCATCCTCCGGTAGAGGAGATTTAAGTTTGTTCAAATCTTGACCCCCGGGGCTAGGGTGGGGCCAAAATGGCCGACCCAAGTTTTACATAGGGATATATAGGGAATCTTTTAAAATCTTCTTTACAAGTACTTCAAAGCTATGATTAGTGATATTTATATGGAATCATCCTCAGGTAGTGTAGATTCTAGTTTGTTCAAATGATGAATGCATGGAGGGGGGGGGGGGGGGTGGGAGTAAAAAAAGATATACAAGCCTGATGTGCTCAGGTGAGCGCTGTGGCCCCTGGGCCTCTTGTTTTCTAATGTGAAGCATATCTGACATCATATTGACATGATTTTAAAATTTTAACAGTTTTGTACTTGGGTACTGGTCCATTACAATGATAAGGTATAGGTTTTACATTGATTTATAAGAAGAAAATGATGAATGACATAGTATACAGGTTCTTTTCTTAAACTATGAATCTCAAAACATCAGACAAAATCTTATCTCTATAACCCTTATTTCTTTACTAATCAATGTAAAATCCTATAAAAGCGAAGTCAGTTAATTATTATATTTTACTGCAGGAAAGATAAAGCAAAGGTGTAGTTATGACAGTTTGTCAGAGCTGATTTGCTTTGACTTCTGAGTTCAATGCTATTTCAGTGGTTTGAACATATTTTATTGTAATTTCTAATTACAAAGGGATTGGGCACAAATTCTAAAAACTATTTTAGTGCAGGTAGTTAGCATCAAAATAAGTTTCTCAGACACCCAGATTTTCTATAAACAATATGCTTGAATTTTAGATGAAGCTCCTTAAGAATCTTTAGCAATTAACAGTTAGATTACTGTGAAATAGATCCAATGTTTTGTCTGGGTGTAGGTCTTCAGACATAACAGGGAGGTCTGACTTCTAACGTTTTTTCTTTACAGTTTGAGAAAGCTACGGATCAGGAGGAACTGAACAAGGCCATTAACTCATTCCAACACTCACTCCGAAAAAATATCAATCCTCAGAACCTCAAACGATTTGTCAAGTCTTTCATGAAGTAAGTCCACATGTCAAATCCAGTGTTTGATCAGGTCTATCACAAAATAAGTCCACTTATGTCAATTTCATTGATTGATAAGTTCTAGAAGTATATTTAAGTTGACATTTCAAATTTCAAAGTGTAAGAGCTTTCATAAAGCATTTTAGTAAGTTGAGATGTATATAATTGATATAATGCTTAGACTCGAGGTTTCAGTGTTTTGTATATTAATTCACTAACATTCAGATGTGAAAGAAATAGAAAAAAAATAAATTCACATTGTTCATACTGAAGTTTCTTCATGAGTAACTATATTCTCTAAGGTACTCTCTAACGTTGATTTTGTTTTTGTAGGAGAACTAATATTGCTGAAAGCATTGGGAAGATGAAGTAAGTAAAGTCAAACATGGAGTCTCTCTCTCTCTTGTTCTGTAACACAGTGTAGTCAGCTGCAAAACTACTTCACTGATCTAAATGAAAAAGGGGATGAATGACCATCACTATTTTTTAGATGTGATCTACAGATCTGCAGCCAGTGGAAATGTTAACTGAGATTGTTTTATAAAGTGTAAATTGTGTAATTTAATGTATACTGTTTCATGTATTATGACTCTCAAGCAGTCTGGTGAATACAATGTCAAATAACACTAGTATTGTAAGCACAATTTTATAATGTACAGGTGCTTATTGCTAATGATTTGTCTATGATTTTACAGGTGCTCTGTGCTCTTTGTGACAGGTGCTCATGCCTCTTTTGTTGAAGATTTGTCTTTAATTTTACAGGTGCCCTCCTAGTGACAGGTGCTCTTGTCTGTTTTTGTTGTTGATTATATTTGATTTTACAGGTGCCCTGTGCACCTAGTGACAGGTGCTCTTGCCTCTTTTTGCTGAAGATTTATATTTGATTTTACAGTAGGGGTGAAACGATACGCCTCCTTCACCGTTTGATATGTATCGTAAAATTTGGTCTTTGTTTGGTTATTTTCCCTATGATACATTTTGATAGAAGGAAACAAATTCAACCGTTGTTTTATGCTTCCTTTTACTTAACCTAGTCAAATATTTTACGTGCTGCAAAATGGCTAGAAGAAATCAATTTAATTGATTTGACTTTTAAAATTATTTTACAAACTATCAATCCAGAAAAATTTGCATTTTTGAACTAATTATATGGAGGAGCATGTTTATGCCTTATGACAAACCCGACTGAATGAAGATCCTGACTGAAAAAAGAACCGAACTGAAAAAAAGAGATTTTTTACCATGTACAAAACCAAGAAAAAATACCGCGGTTAATCAATACCGCGGTGAACCGTTTCACTCCTATTTTACAGGTGCCCTGAACTCCTAGTGACAGGTGCTCTTGCCTCTTTTTACTGAAGATTTGTCTATGATTTTACAGGTGCCCTGTGCTCCTTGTGACAGGTGCTCTTGCCTCATTTAATCACACTGTCCATACACTGGCTGGTTTTATGTTGGCTAAGATGGAGAAGAACAAAGTGGAGATCATTGAAGTGGAGGGGGTGGCTAACGTTGTGGAGGAGAAGGTAGGCTCACTCTACTGTCTGACAGATAACAGCATCAGTGGTAACATTCAGTGACCTAGAAAGTCGAATTTCAGTAGCTACAAGGCAAGACAGGGGAAGTTTCTGAAGATTGATGTAGCAAATAATTTCCTGAGTATTCTAGTTAAGTCTTGGAAAGGCTTTATAAACCAGCTGCAGTTTCAAATAATTTGGAATTAACAAAGGTTACTAGTTCACTTGAGTTCCTTTTTAATTTTTAAGGGAAATAGGGAACACTTTGTGGTGTTGCCATCATTGAGCTTCTTGCTCTAAATGTTTGAGTTTAATTTTGTAGCAAGAATTCCACTTTTTCCAGCAAAAAATCAAGGACTACTCGTGATTTCTAATGATTTCTATTTCAGCCTGAACGTCTAGCTGAGGCCTTCCTGTATTTCTGTCAGGGACTGGGAGTTAGTAAGTATAGTTCAGAACCTTAGACTGTGTGTGACTAACAGCGGCAAATAGTGTGCTACAGCTTGGAGAGGAAGTAGTCCCAAACATAAATAATCAGAGAAAGGGAGGGGCTGTTACGGGTTTTTTCTAGGTATTTACCCCCCGAAATCCAGCAATGGAAATAAACGATGAAAATTAATTTTAGTAATTGATGTGAAAGTGTATGATCAAAAGGAAATGATTTACCACTGCAAGTGTACTGTTGTCTGTATATCTGAGTTGAGAAATTTTTAAAAATGAAATAAGTGATTGATGTAAACATATAAATGTTAAATTTAATGTACTAAAAAGAACTACTTCATATCTAGCTATTATCATCAAACATTTCTAATCTAGAATCTGCGAAATAAGGAAAGCTGTGGGCCCTATAAATTGAGTAATAACCTATTTTCAAAGCACTCTCAGCCATTTTAGGGCTGATAAGTTCCTCTTATGAGTCTAGTTCTTAACTCTTAAACCACTAACAGCATGTAGTAATTCTTGTATTGAAAGTAGAAATTCACCTTATATAACCAGGTTACATATTTATACCATGTAAAATCTGTTGAACTTGTATTAATGATATTTTTAGCCCAATTTTGTATCAAAGAAAGCTGGCTTATAAATATATAAGTAAAACCCAAGCTTAACATGTTCTGACATATTAGCCTGACTTGTCTTAGGGCCCAGGAGGGTGAGCTTTCGTGCGACATTGGAGGCCCATGCAGAGTGATGGGGGGTTACTATATCTGTCTTTGGGGTAAGCTATGTGTGCTCGTTCCCGTAGAATTATAATACAGCTGCTAATAGATCGGGTCGCTATAACAGGTTTCAGGGTGTAGGCGCATCATTTTATTTACTCTCTGCCTGAACGTTCTTTATTTAGCAGTGAGACATCACTGATTGAACAATAACCTAGATTCTGAAATTCTGTCATTAAATAATTTTTTGGTGAAACAAATTTACAAATTTGAAAATACTTCTGATCAAAATACTCTTAAGAAGTAAAGTTAATTCGAGGGGGAGAAATATTTTTAAAAGTTACTGGTGCAAAGTTTTGAAAATTGTGATTTGAGAGGCAGGATTTGATAACCTTAAATGGAATGAAATTATGCATGAAAAAGCTTTCGTAAATATTTGTTGTGTTTTTTTTTCATTTTTTAAAAACACATTTTTATATTTAATACTAAAATAATTGATATTTTGATAAAAGTGCATTGTGCTATCTTGCATTTCTTTTACACATATTCTTCAATGGCTTTAGTCAAGGATGTAAATAACAAAGGCACTGCAAAGTATGGCTATCCATGCTAAACATAATTTCATTCCAAAAATCACAATTTCTTTAAACTAAACTGTTATGGTGTTTCACAAAAGTATCAACACCTTTCACAAGCCTTGACCTAGATATCAGCAATTTTACTGTAGCAAAGCTATTGTCCAAACCTGTCACTGACTTTAGCCTTGATCTTTGACCCCATATTTGATACTTGATTCATTGATTAAGGAACTAGTTGAGAATAAAATTCTGTGTGTAACACTATTTATACATTCTGTCTGTGTGTAACACTATCATTTCCGGGCGACATTTCAAGAAGATTTTGAGCTTCTGCGATGTAATTTTATACCAAAACTCCCTAGGACCTCTCTCACCCCTCTCAAAGTGCCCTGCCCCGTTTGTTTTATTAATAATCATAGTATTACAAATGGTACTCTGTAAGTTTTTCTTTAGACAGCACTTTGAACACTTAACTGTGTCTTTGTCCATATGATATCACTTTAAAATTAAAAAAAAATGTTCCTCTGGCCATTAAACAAAGTGAGTATTGGTACTAAAAGCTAAAGGTCAAACAGAACTCCTTTGTAATGGTTCTTTTGCTATAGCCTCTTGTAACACTGTCACATTGGATAGGGAAGTGCTTAATCTGTAAAATAAGTTTCATTTCACAGTGAGTTAATTAATGCTGCAGTATTTGAGAAGCAGAGTGTTTAGGTTATTGTTTGCAAATTTATCACATAATACAATGTACACTAATTCGTCGCCACAAAGCAAGAATCTTGTAATTACCAAGTGTTTTTATAAGTTGTGAAAAACCTGCTTTCTTGCTCTGTGTGCAAATTTTCCTCTATCAACTCCAGACTTTTACTGTAATTAATCTCTGTGACTTTACTGGGAATAACAGGGGGTCTTTATTAAAACAGTAGGTGAATATTGTCTGATCCATGGTAAATTCTGGCTCAAAATTGTGTCAAAAATTTACATTTAATCCAATGCTACATGATAAACTCCGTTTTGACAATATGCGGTCAGTTACGATATTGCTAGAACGCGATAAAGAAAGAGACAATATTTTGTCAGTAATGATATTGCTAGAACATGATTAAGTAAGAGACAATATTTGGTCAGTAATGATATTGCTAGAATGCGATTAAGTAATTAAGAGACAATATTTGGTCAGTACTGATATTGCTAGAACACGATTAAGTAAGAGACAATATTCAGTCAGTAACGATATTGCTAGAACACGATTAAGTACGAGGGTGTCTGTTGCTTGGTAAACTTACCCTAATAAAAGCTTTGTAAAAGAAGATAAGCACAAATAACAAAAATACTAATTTGGCTGGGGATTTTTGTCTGCAAACATGTATGGTTTGTTTCGTAGGTTCCCTAATCTAAGAAAGTCTTGTGTCTGTTCCTCAGTTTATAGAAGCCAACCATTCTAGGCTTGATCCCTATGTCCAGCTTACGGATAGAAATCTCCATGTACTCTTCAGTACTCACAAATAACCTAGTTTCAATCTCAGGGGTGTCCATCCAGGGGGTAACAGTCCTCATTATTAATATTTACAGGCACTAATCAGCTAGCTCATTTCAAGCTTGTCTCTTTCCTAAGGATCATGGGTTCTCATTGTTCATATGCACTGACTAATCTCAATCTTGACTCCATACAGAGCGATTGGTTTTCTCAGTGTTGCCTCACTCATGAGTATCAGTCATTATACACATTGATTAACAGAATCCTAGTTCAAGCTCCTATTTGCGATCATCTCTTCATTAATTATTTGTACTAATTAATTAGCTCTGATCTCAAGCTATCCCCTCCTCAGTCAGTCTATATAAACATGCACTGATTTAGGGTTGTGGTAAGACAACCTAGCTAACACAGAACTAAATGCTTTCTATAAGAGTAGCCTCCCCTCACAGCTGTTTACCCAAAATCCTATCTTAACACCCTGCATAAATAAGAATAACAGTATATTTAATATATTCAAGAATTTCATTAGAGAATATGTATAATTTATAGAAATTATTACCTACTAAAATACGTATCATATGTCGTGTCAGCTTCAGTGACGTATACTTCATATCAGTCTAATTAGGGTCGATATCAGGCCCAGAGGTTGACATGACACATATATGATATGGATTTCAGTATGCAGTATTATATTTATCATATTTAAAATATGTAAATATAAAAGTTCACAAAATCATTTGACAATGTTTTGTGCATACAATATATATTGCACTTTTCCTAAAAAAAAATTTGAGAGAGCCAATTTTAGGAGTTATAAAACTATATGTAAGTCAACAAATTTTAGTATAAAAGAATTGCATTACATGTATATGTCAATAAAATCAAGTTAAACTTGTATAAATACAAATATTACTTCCTGTTTGATTTATGTATTATTATTTTTATTTTTTTTTTGCAAGTCTGATATGATATGGGTTTTCAGACTGGTTGTTCGTATGGGGGTGGGGAACTTACCAATTAAGCACAGTGCAGAATCTGGTTCAGTGTATTTACTACTAAGTGTACCATAATATTTCACATGTGTATTCCCCGCAAGGATTTGCGGGTGCCCTAAATTAATCACTCTTTTGACCTTGACCTCTGTCCGTCTGTCACTTTTACACAACAAATTTTCTGTTTTTTTGGCTATAACTTTTTTTATGGTTGCCCAATCAAGTTCAAATTTGGTATGGTAGTTCAGTAGGCAGAAATACTTATTTTAATGCTAAGTTTAGTTCTCTATGTCTTCTGGTTTGGAGCTGGGGTGGTGGGGTAGATTCCTTAACTATGCATAAGAATGAATGGGCAAAGAGAGATAACTGCTGAGAATGTTACCATTGTAAACTGGGAAGGCTGTGCAATTTGTCCTTTGGGATTAATTAACCTTCCACATGAAGAAAATCCTAAGCATTATCTCTTATCTGTCGACCACATTGAGATTAATAACTGCACCGCCTCTGTCTGCAAATAAACTTGAAGTTAAGGTCAATTTTGAATGATGTGTACATTTTCTGAAATATGGATTTTATACTTTATTTTGGTTAAAATAATGTACTCAATGATTTATGATAATTTTATTGAATTATAAAATCAAGATATATATTAAGATATCATTTTTTATTATTAATATTTTATTTTTTTAATTATTTATTAATTTTTTTTTTTTTTTTTTGCCTTAATGCTGTTAATTTTAACAGGTAATCAGATAATAACCCCATTCTGTTAGAGCTAAAAAAAAGTTCTTATTGTAAATTTAGAAGAAAAAGATGAGAGAGCAGTGTTTCACAATTAATCCCTTTTGATTAATTTTAGCCTGCTGCAGAAAATTTAGAGGCCTCTCTTTATCTGTCACATGAAGATTAATGAACATCTTTGTCTGCAACTATGTTTGTTTTGAAGTTGAGGTCAACCCTGGGTGATATTTGCTTTCACTGAAGGCTTGCATTTTATAAAACACCTGCTTAAATCTTTTTTAAATACACATTTAATTTAGTTTTTTTTTAATAAGACATGAGGTTTTCCCTGTTTTATGTTAATACAAGGTTACTATTTACAGGTTTTTTGGACATTCAGGAATTATCTTGAAAATATAAAAATACAGTTGTTACTTATAATCTTCATATATTTTTTTTTAAAAATGTAATCAAGTAAAACTCTCATTCAATGAGTTGCACCCTTATATTTCTACCCCTCAGCGGGGCCCTTGCTGACTGGTCAGTTTTCTAGTTGACTAATATTTCTTGAAATATGAAAGACATGAATGCATATGCAGGAATAACAACATAATAATTTAGCTCACCTCAATAAAATTGCATTTGAACTTATGTTGTCAGCATCCTGACTATTAAAACTAGCCTGGATCTAAAAGATACATCCTAAAAGTCATGGTTCAGTTGCTTTTTCACTGCATTTGCTGAATGAGTGTTGTAAGTTAAAATTATTGGAGCAAGTTAATTACCAAGGCCTTACTTTAGGCCATACATTGATCAGACTTGCAGTGATGATATCTGCAGATGATTAGTTTTGTGTACATACAGATGAGTACATACATGTATGTTCTCATGGAATTGTCTTATGAATCTGATTCAGAGTTCATTTGTCATGAGATGTTGACATTTAATTAGGCGCATTGATTGAGGTGAGCTATTGGATGTTTTAATTACTTATGTTTTTTAAAACATATATAGTTTTACATCATTAACAGAATGAAAAGAACAATATTGAGTCTGTATTTTATTTGTAAGTTAGTTATAAATATTCATTATTTTCATCTGATTTCTCTGACCTCTTCAGGAAGAGGCAGTAGATTTTCTATATAAATAAATGTCCAAATTCAAAACAAAAAACATAAGAAAAAGGCAAAAATGTCCAGTTTGTGTTTCTGTGTAAAACTTTCAGATAATAAAACAACTTTATGTTTTAATTATAGTTGGTGGAGTCCCAATGCCGCGCGTGAGAAGTAACTCCCAAGATAACACAGAGATTATGACCCGGCGAACACGGAGCTTGTCTATGGAGGAGGCAGACAAACCACTGGGCATCTACTCGTCAAGCCCGGGCCGAATCGGCAGCCCAACCAAGCTTGGCACTAGCCCAGCCAAATAAGTCCACTCTGCAATCTCATCTAGCTAGCTCCCAAGCAGATCCTCGTTCCAATTTCTAATCTTGTTTTTTCTGTGAGGCGTAGTTAAAAAAGAAAAGGACTTTGTGTGGTTTTGTTTTAAATGTGTGGACTAATCATATAGTGTTAGGGTTGTCCATCATTCAGCAATGTTTCATAACTCTGTATTTTACTTACAAGAGATTAGAAAAAAAAAGAATTTCATTAAAAATGCAATAACTCATTAAAATCAATGGTTTTGAAGTAAATAATTTTATAAATAGTCAGTATTACAGATATACAGAGTTTCAAAACATTGTTTGATCTGTGGCCACTTTAAACATAGTTTTTTAGTTCATTTATTAATTGCTGAGATTTAATTTACATATCCCTCCAAAAGATGTCACATTGTAAAAAAAAAAATTTTTATTTAGTGTATCTTCTATTTGAATATATGCTAAATATATATTATATATAGTCCTGCACTCACGCTATATATAGAGGAACCAATTAAGTATTATTTTTTACCAAAGTGTAACTTTTTTTTAAAGATCTTGAGCCTTTTTTTTTTTTTTTGCTAGTCACATTTCCGCAGTCAAAGTTATCCCGTGTGTATTACTAAAAGCTTGAGAGTTTAGTAGAAACTTGAGTTACTTAGGTTGTAGATTGTTATGACTGTTTAGTTGTAAGAGTATGTTTGTGTATCCTCTAATTACTATGCAGGACTTTGTGTTGAAATACCTGTTTTATTTTTGTACCAAGGTCTGTTAGTGTTTCTCATATTTTCACCTGTATGTGTATGTGTTTTATAGTCTTATGCAATTCCATCAGCGCAGCAGGATAAGTGTTTAAGTCTGTGAATGAGATTTTATAATTGCTTGCCTTCTTTCGCAGGACTTCTTTGGGTGTTCCACCAACTGCTTTAACATTTAAATTGGGTGAAGGTTGTCATTTTCTGAGAATCAAAGAGAAGAATTACAGATATTTAACATAATAATCAGGTTAATTTATCATAATCACTGAGGTGGGGCATTTTCTGCATGCTGACAAATGAAGAAAGATGGAAGGTTTCGTTTATTATTTTAAGGTTGTGGGATTCTCTGTAATCGGAACTCTCTGTAGCTTGTAGCTTTCACAATGCATTATCCTTAGAAAACCTGTAAGTGTTCTGGATTTCTTGGTCATTCAAAGTAAATAGATCTCATGGAACCTGCTCAGAACAATTTGGAGGTGTAATACTCTATGCTAGTCTTTAGATTGTCAGGATCCAAATTCGTATCATACTGTCCAGAGTGCAAGAAAAACAAATTGAAGTATTTTAATATTAATTTGAAAAGAAAAGTTGTCTTCTTTTCTAAACAATGTACTTTTTTGGATTTTCTTATAGATAATAGATGATAAATAGATAATAAGGTAATATTTACAGAATTAGATAAGTGTTTTTTTTTCATAAGTGAAATTGATGTAAATGTGTTTTAATGGCCACTACACTTAAGAGTGTTACTGATGAGTTTAGTTATGTAGATGTTATAATTAATAAAAGTATTAAAGGATTCTTGTGTTTTGGGTAATGTTTTTGAGCCAGGTTATGTGCAGGAAGTTATAAGGATGAAATCACACCAGCAAGGTTACATGAATAACTGAAGTTCATAATCAGCAAATGTGCAAGTCCAATAAGAATGATAAAGAAGTTTATAAGGAGATTGTCTGAGAAAGTTTCCTATGGATCTGTCAAAACTTGGCCCAATAATATGCTCTATTTGCTAATGAGGCCATAATACTCTGGTAATAACCATATAGAATCGGTCTACGACAAATCCCGGAAGTCTGAAGCCCGGAACCTGGTAAAATTGGAATCGGGCTTGTGGAAATTGAACACTAACAAGCTCGAATGGCATGTTAATTCTGAGGCATAAGCCTCCGCATTATCAAATTAAATAAGACCATAACATTAAATGTACTTAAAAGTCTTTGATTTTCCATCTAAGGTGAAGCACAAAGTAAAAATTTTAATGACAGTTTATTATTCCACGATTTCCATGGAACTCTTTTGCAAAGGAGACGCAAAAGGTGTACAGTTTGAAAATATTACTGATGAGATAATAGATGGATAGAATGGATTTCCTTGGCATGAAAATGCAAATAAGAATAAAATAACTTGATAAAATTCTGGTCATGGTCAATATGTGGTAGAGCTAGCATAATTGGTGGTTACACCTGCCTGAAAGGCAAGTGCTGAAAAAAAGATTTGGAGAAGACTGGAGAATCCATGATTCATGCTCCAGCTA